AGGTCCTAACAAAAAAAAAAAAAAAAAAAAAAAAAAAAAAAAAAAATCTTTACTTTCTGTGTTTTTACCTGATACTGGAGCTGGATGCATGTCCTAACTTTTCCGTTTAAAGCAATGTCAAGGTCAAAGGTCAAGGTCAAAGTTCAAGGTCATTTAGTGAATTGCTATATTTTACACATATATAAGGGATTTCTTATGTTTTTAAATGACCTTGACCTTTGACCTTGACCTATATTTCAAGGTCAAAGGTCAAATATGCCGATGTAGTTAGTCCCATGTCTCTAGGATACACCGTTTTAAAAAAAAGTTCAGTAAATGTAAGCAGCAAAAACTTTCAGGGACAGTAACTCATAGAAGGGGCCGAAGAACCCTTTCGCACTGTATAGATTGAAGAGTGTACTAAATGAGTCGAAGACACTGATGAAGGTTTGGAATGTCTACGGTTTACGGTTTCGGAGGAGTAGCGATAACAAGGTTTTATTGCGAAAGGGATGACAACTTTTGAATGGGTCAAGCTTGGGGGACAAGAATGAAATTTTTATAATACTTTTAGAAGGACATATTAAATATGCAAAGATATATAGTATATGTTGAAAGACAAAAGAGCTATAAAAAGAGCTAATTTTCTTATATTTTGAATGACCTTGACCTTTGACCTTGACCTTAAGTTCAAGGTCTAAGGTCAAAGAATCTTATGCAGTTGGTCCCATGTCTTTACGACTTGTCGTTTAGAAAAGTTTTTCATTATTCGTAAACATGAGAAACGTCCAGGGGCAATAACTCATAAAAGGGGTCGACGAATTCTTTCGCAGTGAAACCTTGAAGCGAGTACTCAGTTAGTCGAAGACATTGGTTAAGGTTTCGTACCTCTGCGGTTTATGATTTCGAAGGAGTAGCGATAACAAGGTTATTCGTTTAAAGGGCAAGAACTCCGAAAGGGGTCATAGGTCATACTCGTTGGGTAGTTTTTCGAAATAACTTTTGATGTCGAGTATCATGAACTATAAAGTTCTTCGAAAAGTCTTTCGGTTCAAAAGGCGGTAACGGAAAAATAATAATAATAATAATAAACATAAGCATTTCAATAGGTCTTTCCACAGAAAGGTGGAAAGACCTAATAATAATAATAATAATAATAATAAACAGAAGAATATCAATAGGTCTTTCCACAGAAAGGTGGAAAGACCTAATAATAATAATAATAACTAGGAGACTAATTGTTCAGAGAACAATTAGAGGCCTTTCCACCTTTTTAAGTGTTTCCGTGTCATTTGGGTTGAGAAAAAGTAGAAAAATGCAAAAAATGAAAAAAAATGAAAAAAAAAAAAAAAAAAAAAATTGCTCCTCCAGCTGGGCTCGAACTCAAAACCCTTGGGTTGAAAGGCAGGTGCGCTAACCATTCGGCCACGCATTCCGATAACATACGTAAGTTAATTGTTTAAGACTATAGAAGAAATGCAAGCGTATTTTTGGAATCGGTAGGGGAAGAAAGAAGTTCCGTAAAAGGAAATAGTTCCTGAATTTGCAAGCAGTATATAAAATAATAAGGAACGGGCTGCGTGAGAAAACGTTAACACTGTTCCCTAATGAATATGTATTACTGGACTGTAGCCCGATTCATCGATATTGTGAGCATGCTGAATTTTTTGTAAATAGCTTTGTTGTAAGCTTAAAAGATCGGGTTCGGATTGTTACATTTCTGTCTGAATATCCTGAAATAAATATGAAACATTTAAATAAGCATTTCTTTGGGTTAAATTAAATATGTGTATAGCACAAATTAAACTCCCAACATGCATTTTTAGAAGGGAAACACGACAATGAAAGCGAGAATTGTTTTTTTATATACCGAAAATCGCTATTTCTGGAAACTGATTAATTCTAAATAAAAATCAAATAAATTCCAAATGTAAAAGAAAGAGAGAATGCTTGGTATTAAAATGTCGTATCATATCAGGAGAATTAAATGCTACTAACGACATCTGAAGAAATAGCCGATAAAAGGTTTAGATCATTTCTTCGTTCACCTGCACTTAAATTTCCAACACAACAGAACTTGTAGTTTTTGCCGTGAAACTTCATGACTTCTACAAACTTATAAGACTCACCGTAAAACTCTCCTGAAAGTTTTTCTGAAGTCTATACTACATTTGTACCAAATTTGGTGTCGATCCGAGGTCTGGTTTGAATTCTAGAGTAATATTCTACATTGTTGTTGATGTGATTTTTTTTTTTAAGAAAGGGGGGGGGGTTTGAATTACTTATTTTATTCCTCTTTTAAACAGAGAATTGTAACTACTTCCACATCCTTAAGCCTTATTGTGACCTTTGAGTCAAGGTCAAAGGTCAAGGTCAAAGGTCAAGGTCCTAACAAAAAAAAAAAAAAAAAAAAAAATCTTTACTTTCTGTGTTGTTACCTGATACTGGAGCTGGATGCATGTCCTAACTTTTCCGTTTAAAGCAATGTCAAGGTCAAAGGTCAAGGTCAAAGTTCAAGGTCATTTAGTGAATTGCTATATTTTACACATATATAAGGGATTTCTTATGTTTTTAAATGACCTTGACCTTTGACCTTGACCTATATTTCAAGGTCAAAGGTCAAATATGCCGATGTAGTTAGTCCCATGTCTCTAGGATACACCGTTTTAAAAAAAAGTTCAGTAAATGTAAGCAGCAAAAACTTTCAGGGACAGTAACTCATAGAAGGGGCCGAAGAACCCTTTCGCACTGTATAGATTGAAGAGTGTACTAAATGAGTCGAAGACACTGATGAAGGTTTGGAATGTCTACGGTTTACGGTTTCGGAGGAGTAGCGATAACAAGGTTTTATTGCGAAAGGGATGACAACTTTTGAATGGGTCAAGCTTGGGGGACAAGAATGAAATTTTTATAATACTTTTAGAAGGACATATCAAATATGCAAAGATATATAGTATATGTTGAAAGACAAAAGAGCTATAAAAAGAGCTAATTTTCTTATATTTTGAATGACCTTGACCTTTGACCTTGACCTTAAGTTCAAGGTCTAAGGTCACAGAATCTTATGCAGTTGGTCCCATGTCTTTACGACTTGTCGTTTAGAAAAGTTTTTCATTATTCGTAAACATGAGAAACGTCCAGGGGCAATAACTCATAAAAGGGGTTGACGAATTCTTTCGCAGTGAAACCTTGAAGCGAGTACTCAGTTAGTCGAAGACATTGGTTAAGGTTTCGTACCTCTGCGGTTTATGATTTCGAAGGAGTAGCGATAACAAGGTTATTCGTTTAAAGGGCAAGAACTCCGAAAGGGGTCATAGGTCATACTCGTTGGGTAGTTTTTCGAAATAACTTTTGATGTCGAGTATCATGAACTATAAAGTTCTTCGAAAAGTCTTTCGGTTCAAAAGGCGGTAACGGAAAAATAATAATAATAATAATAAACATAAGCATTTCAAGAGGTCTTTCCACAGAAAGGTGGAAAGACCTAATAATAATAAACAGAAGAATATCAATAGGTCTTTCCACAGAAAGGTGGAAAGACCTAATAATAAACAGAAGAATATCAATAGGTCTTTCCACAGAAAGGTGGAAAGACCTAATAATAAACATAAGCATTTCAAGAGGTCTTTCCACAGAAAGGTGGAAAGACCTAATTATAATTATGTCTTTAAAATAGATACAGCTAAGTCACTCTGCATGAGAATACCATAGTGAGCTGTAAACATAAACCTTAAACTACATGGCAGCCATTATACAGACAGTCTGATAGGTACTCTACACCAGCAGGGCTTTATCTGTCTAAATGGGTCCATAGATAATTGTCATAGTACATAATGCTGATTCCCCGGATGATTTGTATTAAATGCCAATAATTGGAGGCTAAACATTTGATGAACTGAATCAATATTAGGATATCAAGTATAACGCGCAGAATGACAGGTACAATGTCGGCGACTGTATGCGCTATGCAGAAAATATTTATATTCAGTATTTACGTTCATAACAAACGATCACTTATGATTATAACAGTGTTGATCAGATTCACACCTATTGAATTTTATTTCATTTGATTTTCCTGAAATTTGGCAATAAACCAGATGAACTTTCATGGCTACTGTATCTTAAAGATGTTGTCAAATCGTAAATCAAACAAAACTACTTCTATTCTCATTGGGTTTAATAACTTTATTTGATAATTTTAACATCCGTTGGTCTTCTGGGAAATAAATCAAAGACAAAATGCAACAAGACGAATTGTAATTGAATTGTCTTTTTTTTCCTTTTTTTTTTTAAATAATTGCACTACCATAAAATCGTTTGAAGTTTCCGCATCTCGGCTTTTGTAATTCTGATGGCGTCTATCGCACCTTTTGAAAGTCTGATGACACAGACCCAAAGACTATTGAACTTATGTGAATGGCAAAGTATGCATGGAACATTTTCAAGTTTCAAAGATTTCTTCAAAAGAATGTCAATAATTAATTAAGTGCCAATGTTAATAACAACATTCTTTTGTTGATTAGTATTATATGCAAAGGTTAAGAACATTTAACACTAAAATCTTTGAAATAAAGATTTTACAAACTCTACAGGATGTTTCAAGTTATTAAGAAAAACATATATATGGAAAAGTATGGTTCAGTCCTTGATAAATTTCAATTTTGATAAAAAATAGATACTTTTTTTCCTGTGTAGTGACAATAAGTTCAGACTGAATACATGTAATTTGCTTCCGTTCGAGTTCGGTGCATCTACCACCTTTCGCAGAAAGAACAATTTCCTTATGAGAAATTATGTAGAGTTACTGTAACATAATAATTTATTAGCTATATTTAAAATAAAGAAAATTAGAGTTCATAAACTCCCATTAGATACAATTAAGCTTGTACATGTAAATGTATTGTTTTTTTTGTTGTTTTGTTTTTTGGATAAAAAAAAGAGTTAACATCTTTGTAACTTAAATAATTTTAATAAGCACATGTATAAGAATAAAAAAGAATAAACATTATTGCAAATATTACCTGATTTGTTAATTGGTTCCTGTATGGAATGATGAGAAAAGACAAGAACTATTCCAAACACAACCAAAACAGTCCAAATCGGCTTCATGTTTCGCTAAAATTGCTTTAGTCACTTCACAATTGTTAAAAGGGAAACAGGTTATATTTCAGACTCGCATCCCCAGGTCTCCAATTCCGGACAGTAGACGCCAGTGATATGCCGCAATGATAAATAAATGTCTGAGCGGAATCCAGGAATGTGATAGAAAATAGTGATACTTGGAGGTAGGAAATTCTGTGCAGATCGATGGAAATATTCACTACGACACCAGCTAACCATCAGCGGATCCCGGCGAGGAGAGAGCTGGTTTCACGTTAGTCAGAGCTTCTATCGATCTTTTGGAGAACTTAAATATTTTTTATTCTTCGTATTGGTCCCGGCGATACAGTTCAGATTGGCAATACTCGAAAGACCCGATCGATGGAGTTTGACTCACTGCATTAATTATGGAGATGTGATAACAGCAGTGACCTAAACCAAATGGGATAGGTTTCTGCCATTCTGCAGATTCAATCACTTTCATTTTTTATTTCTATTACCATGAACCAGAATTCCATGGCAATAAAACCTGCATTTCTTTGATACTTTTAAAATATGTACAAAAGAATGATAATGTTTTGTAGCAGGTTTTATCATTATAATTGAAAAAACTGTTTTAGTTATGTATTGTACATGTAAAGGGATTGTTTTCAACGAAAAGTAATGTTAACTTTAATACAATGTATATATCGTCCGGTAATTTCGATTTGGCCTCAGACAAATGCTGCGTTCAAGATTGTAGCAGCTAAGCTAGCCTCTAAGAATGTAACTTTCTTGAACGGACCACTCAGCTACCTATTACGATTCAAAGAATTGCATACACTAGCTTTCCCTACATAGGACCAAAGGTAGAAAATCGTTCTAGATTGTGGCGCGAAGTAAGAGCTTCGATTATGAATGCAATCTTTCTTTTGAGTTTTGAAATACATACTTTTCTTTTCACAATGTAACTGATAATTATACAACCCCTGAGATGGTCTGACTGTGAGATTTTCTTTCGCTTCTTCATTTTTAAAGGGTTTTTCCCTATTTATTTCCATGAAAAATTTGTCCCATACTATGACCCAATCCTTTCTCCGAAAGGTCATGACTTTATCAAATTGAATATCCACACAGCAAGAGTGAAATATGGAGCTAACGAACAGTATTCAAACTCATTAAAACAATACAAATCGGGAGCAGAGCAAACACTAACCTCCAAAAAAAAAAAAAAAAAAAAAAAAAAATCAGAGTTGGGATCAGATGCAATGGAGGAGTGAGCATCCCCTGCCGTGTGGTCACGCCCGCCATTTGCCCTTTGTCATGATCGGGAAATAATGGAAAAATCCGTCGACAATTCATTGTGTAAATAATGGCCAATTAGTATGAAGAACGTCAGTCAGCGTATGACTTAATGATAAATTGTACTTGCTGACAAGGTCATTGTATCGACCATAGAACTATAGAACTTACGAAATGATTACTTTAAACGAGACTGTTGATATTCTTGTTACATCAACTTGTTTGTCAATAACTTACCTCGTTTTAGAAATTGTTCATACGTAGAGCATGCTCTTGCGTATCGAATCGAGAGATATACACCCCATATGTAGGTGATAAGGGTATATTGCTGCATTAGTAAGGGAAGTTGACGATTGAAAAATTAAAGTCATCACATTTATCAAAAAGCTTTCTTGTTAGATACCTTTAACGTCTTTTTCTAGTAAAATATCCAAATACGAAACAGATGTGTCAGACTCTGTGGTATCTTTTATTTCAAGCTCTATGGGATATATTGAGTTGACATATTAATCGAAATAACTGTTTTAATTGACAATATCGATATATCTAAATGTCGAGTTCAAGGCCACAAGAGGATGCTTAAGTAACATTATGATTAACATGGTCTTGCTGTTCTGGAGAAGAAACTTTTTCTTCATACTTGTAAAATGTAATATATGAGCTCAATTTTAGCCCCATCATAACCCCAGGACCGATAAGAAAAATGCTAAATACAACTTGGAATGTTGGCATATTAATATATGATTTAATGTACCCTGCATCTCTTGAAAGTCTTTTAAGAATTCCTTTATAATCCCAAGTAAAACTCTGATCTCTTATTTTGGCCCTATCAACAACTGGAGACCACAATTTGAACATACTTGAACCTATACTTACCTGAGGACGCCTGCCTGTAAATATTACAAATCATGACTCTGATGTTCTTGAAATGTTTTTATTTATCTTCCTATCTTATACTATGATTCTCTATTGTAGCCCCACCTACTATGCAGGGATAACAATCTCACATGTTACCTAAAAACATGTAATATATATTTTTTTTAATACTCTGCATCTACCGCCGTTCCTCTGCATGCACCACCAGTTGCTGCTTGGACCTCTCTTCATCGACCACCCAGATTCTTGTGAACAGTGATATCAGCAGTCCCGCCTGGAATGACATCAAATTGATTTTTTTTTTCAATTAGAGAAATTTTTAACTTAAAGTGATGTACTTTTATACTTCATCTATATCTTAGAAGAGTGACTTTTGATGCAAAATTAAAGTTAAGTCAGGTAATAAACACCAAGTTTTTGAAAAAGTAGGTCGCAAAAACTTTGTTTAAATACTTAACTTAAAGGTAAATATATTTATTCTCCGAATTTTTAAAAGCATTTCTCCGGTTTTGTACAGTGAGACTGGCTTTACAGTGATACTTTCATCCGAAAGTCTGGTCATACATGTATTATAGTGAATACTTTTCAGTGGAAATCCTTCCATATAGAAATTTTTCCGAGCGGACCTGCTATATACCCGTCTTCTTTGACAAGTCTTCCTAGGAAAGAAATTTAACTACATGTATATGCCGCAAATATTCTGTATACCATTCATAGCAATCATATCATCTATTTTAAGTGCATAATTTTCTGCTAAAGGTGTTTTAAAATTGTTGAGTTAATGTAATCTTCACAACAATCCGTTACATTTATACAAATAGTGTAATACCAGAGAGGAAATGCAATATCTTAGTCGGGTTTATTCCAATTTTAAGTAAAAGATTCTTAATTACAAGCTTCCTCGAGTTTCTTTTCCTTTGTTTGATTTCTTCAAGCAGTTTTTCAGTGTAATAGTGCAATGTAGTTTCCAGCTGAATAATCAACAAACAATTTCAAATTGCTATTTTTGTGCTATTTATTTATACATGTAATTTATATATCTTAGCATGTGTAACATTATCATAAAAAATGTTTTTGGAGACTTTCCCTATGTACCCTACTATATATATGGTAATATATACATTTGTGGTATCTCTCTATTATATAAACATACAGAGAGCAAATATCTTCATACCTGTATGAAGTTTTTCGAAGGTCATAGGTCATTACGTGACCTATTCACACAGCGCAGTAATATCTACATAAAAAGACTTACTCTACTTAGCAATAAAGCATGTATTTCATGCATAAAAATGTACAAAATACGCCAGTAAAATAATAATTATTTTATTTACAATGTAAACGAGTATTTAATAGAGTTATTGATCGATTTTACATAGAGAATAGAAAACTACGTGTTATAAGTTTCATGTCTCAACGTTTACCCTTATTTTTCTTGTAGACCTCTGAATGCTATAATTTTTTTTCATTAAACTTTACTCACAATAAATTTGAAAATCTGTTGGAAAATATCAATGTAATGCAAACACGCCACAAACAGCTGATAAACACTTTGGAAGTTCGGTAGGCACACCTCCATCATCAAGAGGGTTGTCTTAACAATGTAAGCTGTCGCCAGTGTCTCCGTGTCAACATCATAATAAATATGCCTTACTGAAATCGTAGATTTTATGTTTTTGATCAAATTTTATACTTGATTTCAAGTGAACTGGTCCGGACAAGTGTCTCCATCCATCCCTTTCCGACCGAAATTCCTCCAACGTTTTATTATCAAACATCGGACGTGTTTCTTGTGTTTTTTAACATCGAATATGGGTTCTCATGAATACAAAACTTTCCCAGACACCAATATGCTCACTATAATTGATCACAAGTAGCCTTTCACAGAATATTCCCTTCAAACAGAATCCTTCCAGATGAATTTGAAGCGTAACCGCTTTTCAAGCCGATTTACACCTTGCGTAATTTGTCAAAATCTACGACGAACAGTTAGTGCAATATTTATATTTGATTATATTTGATTGTCCGTCTCAAATTTATATATAAGTAATAAATAACAAGTTTAAAAACTTCACTGGGAAATGAAGTGGGTCGTATGGTGGCATATTTCTGCCCCTTGTGTGCAAGTTATTTTTCTATCAAATATGTCGACATGCAAGATAAATATGTTGACATGCAAGATAGTTATGTCAACATGCAACATATATATGTTGACATGCAAGAAAATTGCATTCAAATAAGAATTATAAAAGATCTAAAAAAAAATCTCAAATATAGCCCACATGTGACATCCAACATGCAAGATACTACTTATTTATGTCAACATGCAAGTTATTTATGTTAACATGCGAGATAAATATGTTGGCATGCAAGTTATTTATGTCAACATGCAACTTAGATATGTTAACATGCTACTTATTTATGTCAACATGCAACTTATTTATGTCAACATGCAACTTAGTTATGTCGACATGCAACTTGGTTATGTCAACATGCAAGTTATTTATGTTAACATGCGAGATAAATATGTTGGCATGCAAGTTATTTATGTCAACATGCAACTTAGATATGTTAACATGCTACTTATTTATGTCAACATGCAACTTATTTATGTCAACATTCAACTTAGTTATGTCGACATGCAACTTGGTTATGTCAACATGCAAGTTATTTATGTTAACATGCGAGATAAATATGTTGGCATGCAAGTTATTTATGTCAACATGCAACTTAGATATGTTAACATGCTACTTATTTATGTCAACATGCAACTTATTTATGTCAACATGCAACTTAGTTATGTCGACATGCAACTTGGTTATGTCAACATGTTATGTTGGCATGCGAGATAAATATGTTGACATGCAACTTAGTTATGTTGAAATGCAACTCATTTAAGTCGACATGCAATTTAGTTATGATAACATGCTACTTATTTATGTTGACATGCGAGATAAATATGTTGACATGCAACTTATTTATGTCAATATGCAACTGAGTTATGTTAACATGCTATGCGGGTTAAGCAGGGCTCATGATCATTGTTAATAGTTAAAGTGACTGCAACCTAGCAGTCTACAATGACCCATATAGCTTAAACAATTAAGCTACATTTTTTATGATTTTCAATTACTTTATTATGTTGCTTTAGTTTGGTGCCGATACACTGTTATTGTACCATTTACACATGCATTGTCAAAATACTTGCCTGTATCTGAACAACTCTGA